CAGTGTCCTCATGCTGGAATGAAAATGACTAATAAGAAGTTGCTTATCCAAGAGAAGTAAGTTGGTCTAATCCTACTTCCTTTTTTTTTCCCCCCCAAATGATTACTCAGCTAGCAGATGAGGGCAACGTTGTACATATAGTTTACCTAGATTTTAACAAAGCATTTTTAGCAAATATAGAGTATTTCAACTATTCTGTGGCAAATATGGACTAGATAATAATATTACATGAATTTGGAACTGATTAAATGGATCAGCTCTGAGAGAAGTCAAAAATGGCTAAATTGAATTTGACACTCTCTAGTAGAATACCCTGAAGATCTGGCTTAGTGTGATTTAATATTTTCATCAATGACTTGAAATGCTGATGAAATTTGCAGATGGCAAAAAACCTGGAGCATTAACTACCATACTGTAGCTCATTGGATAATAACGTCAGGGTCCAAAAAGACCTTGACAGGATTGAACATTTAACTGAATCTAATAATATAAATTATAATAGGGATAAGTGTAGAGACTTACACTTAAGTTTAAAAAATCAGCTTCACAAGTAAGATATGGTTAGATAGTAGCTTGGCTAGAGGTTTTAGTGAGTCAGCAATATGATGTGGCAGGCAAAAAAACCCCAAACCTAATGCAATCTTAAGCTATGTTAAGAGAAGTATAGCTTCCAGATATAATAGGTTACCTGGGCTACCTCCCTCCATCTCCCATGCGTACTAGTTTATAGGTTGAATTTCCCAATTACACAACTGCTCCCACAGATTTAGATACCCTATGTGTTCCCACACTCCTAAAACTTACCTTTACTAGTCGGGCAGTAGAATACAATTAGCTCAAGGCAAAGGCATATTTTACTAAAATTGCATAGTAAGTACAGTAGCTACAAAACATTTCTTTCCACTTGGGGCAGACTCCCACAAATACTATTGTTCTACAAGAAATGATGAGCAGGATAGTATCAGAAAAACCTGAGAAGACTTATGTGAGCTGATACAAAGTGAAGTGATCCGAAGCGGAAAACATTGTACATAGTAACAATAATGTTGTATGATGACTTAGCTATATTCTGAGCAATAGAGAATGATCCAAGCCAATTTTGAAGGACTTATGATGAAAAAATGCTTTCCATCTCCAGAGAAAGAATTGATGAAGTCTGAATACAAAACTGTATTTTTCTTGGGGTTTTGTTTGTTTTGGACTATGTTTTCTTTTGCAACATGGCCAATTTGGAAATATTTTGCATAACTTCACATGTATAATCTATATCAAACTGCTTGCTTTCTCAAGGTGGGAGAAGGAGGGTGGAGGAGAATTTGGAACTCAAAATTTAAAAATTTAAAAAAAAATATTTGCATGTAATTAAGAAAACTTACATTAAAAAAGTTTTTTTAAGCTGTGACAAACCAATTAGTCAAAAAGTCTGGGCTTTACTAGGGATATAGAAGGCTTGGGATGTATATTATTATTTTTCTATTTTTTTAAGGTAGATAAAACAGGTTTTATTATATTCATTTTACAAACAAAAAAAACTAAGGATCTAGGAGCTTAAGTAATCAGTCTTTATCATACCAATTGAAAGTCTAGGGCAATATTCAAATCCAGGTTTTCTGACTCAAATCTAACCTTCTTGTTTGTTTATTTGTTTACTTGTTTATTTATTTTTAGTTTTCAGCATTCATTTGGACAAGATTTTGAGTTTCAAATTTTCTCCCCATCTTGCCCCTCCCTACCCACCCCAACACTGCATGCATTCTGAATACCCCTTCCCCTAATCTGCCCTCCCTTCTATCAGCCCCACCCCCTTCTCTTATCCCCTTCCTCTTCTATTTTCCTGTAGGGCAGGATAGATTTCTATACCCCATTCCCTGGATATCTTATTTCCCAGTTGCGTGTGAAAACAATTTTTAACATTTGTCTTTAAAACTTTAAGTTCCAAATTTTCTCCTTTCCTCCCTCCCCACCCACCCTCAATGAGAAGGCAAGCAACTTGATACACGTTATACGTGTGTAGTCATGCAAAACACTTCTATAGTAGTCATGTTGTGAAAAACTTAACTATATTTCCCTTCATCCTATCCTGCCTCCCATTTATTCTATATCCTCTTTTGACCCTGTCCCTCCTGAGAAGTGTTTGCTTCTGATTACTCCCTCCCCTAATTGGCTGTCCCTTCTCTTAATCCCCCCTCTCCTATTCCCTTCCCCCCTATTAAGGGTAAGATAGATTTCCATGCCCAATTGAATATGGTCTTCCCTCCATAAGCCAAATCCAACAAGACTAAGATTCACTCATTCACTCTCACCTTCCCCCACTTCCCCTCCACTCTAAAAGCTTTTTCTTGTCTGTTTTCTGGGAGATAATTTACTTGGGATGTATATTAAATAGCACAAAGCCACTCCTCAAGGAATTTGCTGGTTCATAGAGGAGACAGTATGGGCATATATGCATAGAATCATCAAGTAGGAAGTGTCTTTGGAGTTATTTACTCCACTCTTCTCATTTTAAAAATTAGGGAACTGAAACCCGGAGAGGATAATGAATTTGTTCAAGGTCACAAAGCTGGTTGCTCTAGAGTTTGAACCCCAAAACTCTTGACTCTTAACTGTACTCTTTACACTAAACCACACTGCTATTTATATGATATGATACGTAAATACATAAATAATAAAGACCACAGATTTAGATTTAGAAGAGACCTTAAACACCATCAAGTCCATCCTTCCCATATTATAGGTAAGGAAAATGAGGCACGGACCAGTTAAATGGTCTGTCTAGTAAGCGTCAGACAAATAGTAAGCATCTCAGGAAGTATTTCAACCTAGGCATTTTGGACTCTGCCAGGACCCTATCTCCTAGACTATATTGTCTCGCACAATAGTGAAGTTTTATTTAATTTTAATTTTTAGTGTGGACCCACAATTGCATCAGTGTGTAGAGAACTTCTTTGGGTGAAACTTTCCTCAACAAAGCATACTGACAAGTCATTTGTAATCTATAGTCTTAAATAGTTGGCTGGAGTGTTGGTTCTCCCCAGATCCTTTCAATAGGTCTATGTAGTCAAAACATTATCTGCCTATCTAAATATTTCTCCCTTTTCCAACTGCACGTTTGTGTGAAGCCAGATTTTATTCATATGCACCAACTAAAACAGTTATCAATAAATTGAATGAAGAAAATATGAGAATCCAGTTGTGTTCTATTAAGACAGGCATTGAAGAGATTTTCAAAAATATGTAAAACAATGCTATTCTTCTCACAAATGTTTTTGGAGAATGGTTATTTTTCATAAAAATATTATGATATGTTATATGGTTTTTATTATTTTCAAATTGATCGATAAATATTTTAAAAGTTTATCCCTCTTAATTTCTAATACAGTAAATGTTGATATGATTCATATACACAAAAGCTCTTTGCAGTCCTCAATAATTTTTAAGAGCATAAAGGAATCCTGGGACCAAAAACTTTTAGAATCATTGGACTGCAGCATTAAGAGATTAAGAGATTTGCCCATAGTGATACCTGTGTATGTGTTTGTGTGTGTGTGTGGGTGTGTGTGTGTGTGTGGGTGTGCACGAGCACCTGGAGGCCTAGTTTACAAAGTTTAAAGAAGGAATAAGTATATTTAAAAGTCCAAAAATACATAATCCTATACTGCAGAAAATAACAATATAGTAACCTAGTGAGCAATTCTTCCTCTGGTACCCAGGAAAATAGAAGGGGAAGGGGATAAGAGAAGGGGGTGGGGCTGATAGAAGGGAGGGCGGATTAAGGGGAGGAGTATTCAGAATGCATGCAGTCTTGGAGTGGGGAGAGGGGAGAGATGGGGAGAAAATTTGAAATTCAAAATCTTATGGAAGTGAATGTTGAAAACTAATTAATAAAGAAATGAATTAAGAATTAATGAATTAATAAAGAAAAACAGGTTGTGCAGAAATTAACTCTCTTCAGTGGAGATGAAATGGCTTTGTTGACACTTTTCTGAAAAATTTTTTTTCCAGAAAATTAAGCCACAAGCAGTTCTTTTCCTCCCACTTAGATGGTCTAGTAACTGGAACCTGCTATACAAGGCTAATTTCAATTACTGTCTTAGATATTGTGAAAAGGCTGACTTCGACTCCTCTTATAAAAAAGCACCGGAGTCAAGAGATCTGTGTTTGAACCACAGTTCAGACTTTATTAATGATGTAGACTTAGGCAAGTTACTCAATCTACCCCAAACTAGGTGTCATCAGCTCTAAAATGGAGAGGATGCGACTTGTTGTGAGGTTGTCAAATTAAGCAGTGTAGCACGGTAGATCTGGGTTCCAACTGAAAACAAACAAACAAAACCCAACCCTGATGCTGGACAAGTCACTTCACTGTCTATACCTCAGTTTCCCCAGCTGTAAAATGAAGAAGTTGGTCTATAGGATAGCTAATAGGGTCCCTTACAGTCTAGGATTCTAAGTGTTTTGTAAATTGTAAAAGTGCTCCACAAAATTTGAGTCCTCTGTGTGTCGTTTTCCATTTTGTAGAATTAGAAGATGAACTACCCTCCATGTTGCCCTCTACTCCTCTCCGTGCCCCACCCATTCCTTTCCACCAATCTTTATTCTTCCCTCAGTTTGCTTTAAAAGATGCAAGAGGACTGGTCTTGAGAGTCAGGAGACCTGTGCCTCAGCTCTGATTCTTGCTAGATGTTTGACTCTGCATGTGCCATTGTTTTGCTCAGCCTCAGTTTCCTCATTTGTAAAATGAGAATAATACTTGCCCTATCTACTCCATGTGGTTGTTATGAAGACAGTGCTTTGTAAATCTTAAAGTGTTATACAAAAGTGAGTTATTAATATAATTATTAGTATCATTAATATTTTAAAAGATTTTGGATTTTGAGACATGACTTGTGATTGCCTTGGGAATAAAAGCTTTGCATAACTCTCTCTACAGTAAAACTGACAGAGATTGAAAGATCTTGTATCAATCAGGGTTTCTAAGTTTTCTTTATTATTCTTTTTAGGCCGTTTATGAGGACATGACTGTGACGAATAGAGAGCTGGAGAAATACCAGTTGAACCAACAAGAGGAGACAGAGGCTGAAATGATTAAAATGAAACATATTAAAGATTTGAAGGCACTGTCTCCTCAAACTCAGTGTTTAGACACAAATACTTCATCCTGCTCTACAAAATGGTAAGTATGGGGGCAGCTAGGTGGCACAGTGCAAAGAGCTCCGGCCTGGGAGTCAGGAGGACCTGAGTTCAAATGCGACCTCAGACACTTGACACTTACTAGCTGTGTGACCCTGGGCAAGTCACTTAACACCAATTACCTCACCAAAAAGCAAAACAAAAGCAAAATGAATATGAATGAGTATGAATAAAGATGAAATCCTACTTTCCAAAAAAAAAAATAAGAAGAAAAGCAGTTCTAACTTGGACACTACTTTGTCTATTTACTCTCACCCATATGGACTGATGGCAAATAAGATGAATATTTTCTCCAATAACCTAAGACAGTGACAGTTTTGATGTGAGCATAACATTCAGAATATAAATTCCTTAAGGACAGAGACTAGATAGGATCTAACCTTCCTATCTTCTGGGCCATGCACAAAAGGGGCATTAGAAAAGGACTTGCTAAATTGATTGAATTGGGATATAATGAGAAGGCTATCTGGATGATGCTATCAGTTGAAGAAATTAGGGTGATTGCAAAACTTCCACCTGGAATGTAAAAACAACCCCAAAAAAGCAGCCTGTGGTTGAAAAAGAACATGGTGTATAAATCCAAGAAAGCTTTCCAAAATAGGATTTAGAGACAAAAAAACAAAAAGAAAGAAAAATAAGTATTTCAAATTCAAGAGAATCATCTTGACTTTTTCAAAGGGAAAAAGCCATTCAAAATGAATGGAATTATTATTTTAAAACCATTCAGTGTAGTTATACATGCTCTTGGGTACTCACAAGCTGGAATTTTAATCACATTGGGTATGTAAGTTTTCATTTAACAGCTGAGATTTTGGAAATGAAAACCAATGTATAGGATACATACATACATACGTACATATATGTACATATTTATACATATATACATACATAGGTATACATGCACATGTGCCACTGTACTTGATTGGTAAATTAAAAAGTCTTGAAATATGAACTAAATTAAAATCTACTTTATTTGACTTGTTTTGAAAGCTAAAATTACATCAAGGAAAATAGGAAAAAAATCATGGTTGTGTCTTAAAATGTCCCAGTTCAATATTTACAAAGAATTAATGTTTTTGGAAAATCAGAAAGGAAAAATTGTATCAACAGTGACAAATGCTTTGCAGTGCTGCGTTCATTTCTTCATTTACACAAGGCAAACATATGAAGAATGAATGAAGATTTTAAATCACTTCAGGATAGGCACCTTCAGTCTCTTGTGACAATTTGAATACCTCTCAGGCCTGGCTAGATTTAGTTTTATTAAATGAACGAGTGAAAAAAATCTGATGGTGTCCTTCACTGGTTTACATTAAAATCTAGCATAACTGCCAAGAGACACATTATGGATAAGACCTGTGATTGAATTGGAATAGAGAACTCCCAGTGAGCAACTTCTTTCTACCAAAGCACATCAGCATGAGTTCTGCAACTCGTGGTCTTAGCATGTTTCCTAAGGCAATGAGAAATTTGACTTTTGCCTGGGATCACATAGCCAATATGTGTCAGAGAAGGATTTGAACTCAGGTCTTCCTGACTTTGAGGGTGGCTCTTTAGATACTACTCCATGCTGCCTATGAAGAGATAAACACTGGGAGGAAATGCCAAGAAATTTTATTTGTATTCATGAAACTCACTGAATTGATCCCCAAAAAGATTAAATAATTTTTGTTATTCCCTATTTTACTTTTTAGAATACATTATAAATACCCAGTACTCAATGCTCAACCTGTGATCTATCAATTTAGTAGTCTCTTCCAATGACACAGTCATAACTTATCTACACTTGCCTATCCTGGGTGACTCAAGTGTATGTTCTCTCCAAAGTTTGTTGGGCAGGAGGTGGGGATGGAAGGGTAAGGCAGCCAATATGCTGAAGGCCTTCCTTACTTTCCCCCAACATTGCAAAGGTAGCAGTGGAGCACTCTGGCTGTACACCAGTTATTCCTCATAACCAGTTCATGAAGTTATCCAATTCATTGATGATGTTTTTTACCCCTGTTCTTTTTTGGAGTTCCTTCTTGTTTATATGTTACATCCTACCACCATTGACTCTCTGTAATATCTACCTTCAGTTCTTCAGAGGCAATGTTGTTCTACATCTGGCTGCCATATAGCAACACTATGTTAATGTTGTTCAAATGGACCTTTGCTTTCATAGGAAGCTTGGGGTCATTAAAAGAGCTACTTAATTTCCAGAAGGAATATATTCCACTTTTCTTCCTTTTTAACTTGCCCATCTGTATTGTCTATCCCAAATACATATTCTATTTGACAAGATCACATATGGAGATATTGGTGAAGAAATTCTTTATCCATTTGGTCTTCCCTTTGTGGATAGATAGGCCAAACTCCTTTGAGTGATACAATTCTCTTCTAGGAGATTTTACAACATTCTGGGGCTTGGTGGTTTATATTAGTACAATGTCAGCAGAACATAGGAGCATCTGAAGAATCTTACCATCCACAGGAAACTCCTTTTCACATGGACTGTCTGTTGGATGATATCTAACACAGTGGTTAACATATATCTCATTTTTATGTCTAGAAGAAGAAAAAATCCCAAGACTCTCCCCTTAATACTTGCAAATATTCCCCCTTAATCTCTTGCAAAAGGAAGTCTGGATTAGGGGATTAGCTCTGATCTAAAACAACAGTGATAAGTGGATTTCTTTATTCACTCACTCATTCATCCATATCCATTCATTTATTCAGCTATAGCAATGCTGGGGTGGTCTAGGAAGTAAGGTTGTTCAGCCTCATTGATTAACTAAATAGTTTCCCAATATAAACTTTGAAGTTTGAGTCTATACTCCATCATTTCCTTCACAAATCTGTTGCACGTCCTACAAAGAAAGACCATATTAAGGATTTCAGAGAAAAGTTCTAACTTCATATCCAGATCATGTTTACATTTTGAAGTTACATTGCCTGTGATTATCTTCATGTTTATAATGACATTTTTTTTTTTGCAGGAAACGTGTACTATGGAATTTTGTATTTTTTTATGTCTTCGCCATCTTTGGATTTTCATGTTATGTACTTTTTATTGATCCTACATTTATCTTTGAAACCATGCTCCCTAAGATGCTTGGGCACCAAAAAACGTGGGCACTGAGACAGCTCATTGTTCCCTTCATGTATTCGGAAGTAGACGACTGGTTGCCAACTTAAAGAGAAGACATTATACCATTAGCCTATTAACTTTTTCCCGTTAGAATTTTGGTTGTTATTATGTTATCATTATTTGTTTTTAATATGATACTGCTTTTGACAATGTTAAGCATTAGATGGCTATAGAACAAAAATAAAGTATTCATGTCTTACTTTAACAATGGAAAATTTATTTATTCCACCCTCTGACTACCAGGCTCCCTCCCCACACTGATGCATCTTCCTCAAACCATTGACCCTTTCCTCTCAAGTAGTTAATGCTTAAGGATTAAGGAAGAGAAGGACCTAAGTGACTTCCCTTTTGAGCAGTGATTTTCAAACTTTTTGGTCTCAGGACCCCTTTACATTCTTAAAAATTCTTGAGGACCAAAGAGCTTTTGTTTATGTGGATTTTATCTATCAATATTTACTGTCTTAAAAATTGAGATGTCTTAGTATTTTTATCAAAATAGTTTTGACGTCTTTGGCCCTCTGAAACCGTCTCAGGGACTCTCTTCCAGAGGTTTCCAGAACACACTTTGAAACGCTCCCTAGAACATTCTGCCCAGGATTAGCAGTGTCCTTTACCATTCAGTCTCTACCCAGTCACCATTACCTTCACTTCTTCCTTCCCAAATCCACTGACGGTACTCCACTTGGGGGACTCCACTGGCACAGGTGCCGTCATGCTGTTTTCTGTGTAGAATGTGGGAGCTGACGTTGCTTACAAAGGTCTCCATACTTACTCTCTCTCCTGTCTTGGAGGTAGCAAATACTTGTACTAGCTCCTCTTTTCCCTTTGACTTAGCCAGCTTCTGTCGAGGCAGAGAAACCTATTCCTGAGCTACCCCAATCTCATTCTTATCCAACTCGGGCCCTGTTCCCATGTTGCGATCTTCTCTCTAATTGGACCTCTGCAACATATATTCTGTTATTGACCTCTTCTTGTCTATGTCTCTTATCATGTTTCCAGATGCAGCATGCTCTCCACCTCCTGACAGAGGTGATGAGCATGAGGTATAGAAAGGGACATGCATTTGTGAACATGGTCACTGTGTGGACTTCTTTTGCTTAACTATGCTAATTTGTTACAAAGGTCTTTTTTCTTCCTTCCTTTCTGCCTTCCTTCCTTCCTTCCTTCCTTCCTTCCTTCCTTCCTTCCTTTCTTTCTTTCTTTCTTTCTTCTTTCTTTCTTTCTTTCTTTCTGTCTGTCTGTCTGTCTGTCTGTCTTTCTTTCTTTCTTTCTTTCCTTCCTTCCTTTCTCTCTCTCTCAGTTTTTGAGTATGGGAAAGAGGTTGGGCTGTTAGCAAGAGTAATGCCAAGAGAGGAAAAGAGGGCCATTGCAACATTTTTTTTTATTAATTTATTTTGATTTATCAACAATCACTTCCAAGGGGGCAGAGCCAAGATGGCGGAGTGAAAGCAGTGACTTGCTTAAGCTCTCCCCCAAACCCCTCCAAATACTCATAAAAAATGGCTCTAAACAAATTCTGAAGCAGCAGAACCCACAAAAAGACAGAGTGAAACAAATTTCCACTCCAAGACAACCTGGATAATTGATCAGAAAGGTGTATCACGCCGGGCTAGGAGCACAGCGTGGCATGGGTGCGCAGGCCACAGCAAACCTGGAGCAGGCCTCAGAGGAGTGAATCACGGGCAGCTGTGGTGGTTTCCAGACTCCTCAATCCACCAATGCCAAAGACAACTTAGAAGGTCAGTGGGAAAGGTCTGTTTCTGTCGGTGGTCAGAGAGGAAGGCGGGGTCTCAGCTCCATTCCCCAAGAGCCTGGCCGGGAGTGGGGGGTGGGGGGGGTGCAGCTGCTTCCCGAGCTGCCGGCCCACAGACTGAGAGGGAATCCAGTGGCTGATCAGAGAGGGATTGCAGGGATCTCTTTGCCAGTGCTGAGGCAGGAATCTCTTGCTTTGCCCCTGTTTGGATCTGGGTCACAGTTCTGGGTGGTGGTGCTGGGGTGAGGAGGAGTGCTGGCATGGTGGATCTTGTAGTGACTGTGGAGAGGAACCCCTCCTTACAGTTACGGGACAGAAAGGAATACTTGTGGTCACAGGCCAGGAAAGGAGTAAACACCTCGCCCCTTATCATACCACCTTGGAAGAACTGAAAATTTACAGGTCCCTACAAGTATCTCTGAACACAGCTACACAAACCCCTGAAGCTTGGGACAGTACACTCTCCACATTGGAAGCAGACTCTTACCTTAACAAGGAGTTTAAAACTCAAGTAATTGGCTGGGATCATGAGCAAGCAGCACAACAAGAGTCAGACTATATTATCTTACTTTGGTGATAAAGAAGATCAAAATATACAACCAGAAGAAGACAACAAAATCAAAGCTACTACATCCAAAGCCTCCAAGAAAAATGTGAATCAGTCCCAGGCCTTGGAAGAGCTCCAAAGGGATTTTGAGAAACAAGTAAGGGAAGTAGAGGAAAAACTGGGAAGAGAAATGAGAGTGATGCAAGAAAATCATGAAAAACAAGTCAACAGCTGCTAAAGGAGACCCAAAAAAATACTGAAGAAAATAACACCTTAAAAAACAGCCTAACCCAAATGGCAAAAGAGGTCCAAAAAGCCAATGAGGAGAAAAATGCCCTAAAAAGAAAAATTGGCCAAATGGAAAAGGAAGTCCAAAAGATTACTGAAGAAAATACTTCCTTAAAAATTAGAATAGAGCAATTGGAAGATAGTGACTTTATGAGAAATCAAGACACTGTAAAACAAATCCAAAAGAATGAAAAATTAGAAAACAATGTGAAATATCTCATTGGAAAAACAACTGACCTGGAAAATAGATCCAGGAGAGAGAATTTAAAAATTATTGGACTATCTGAAAGCCATGATCAAAAAGAGCCTAGACATCATCTTTCAAGAAATTATCAAGGAAAACTGCCCTGATATATTAGAACCAGAGGGCAAAATAGAAATTGAAAGAATCCACTGATCTCCTCCTGAAAGAGATCCCCAAAGGAAAACTCCTAGGAATATTGTAGCCAAATTCCAGAGTTCCCAGGTCAAGGAGAAAATATTACAAGCTGCCAGAAGGAAACAATTCAAGTACTGTGGAAACACAATCAGGATAACAAGATTTAGCAGCTTCTACATTAAAGGACCGCAGGGCATGGAATATAATATTCCAGAGGGCAAAGGAGATAGGATTACAACCAAGAATCACCTACCCAGCAAAACTGAGTATAATCCTTCAGGGGAAAAATGGTCATTCAGTGAAATAGAGGACTTTCAAGCATTCCTGATGAAAGGACAGAGCTAAACAGAAAATTTGACTTTCAAATACAGGACTCCAGTGGAACATGAAGAGGTAAACAGGAAAGAGAAATCATAAGAGACTGGTTAAGATTGAACTGTTTACATTCCTGCATGGAAAGATGATATTTGTAACTCATGAGAACCTTGTCAGTATTAAGGTAGTTGAAGGAAAAAAAATTGTATGTATGTATATATAGATAGATAGAGGTCACAGGGTGAGTTGAAGATTAAGGGGTCATATCTGGAGAATAAAATTAAGGGATGAGAGAGGATGATACTCAGAGAAGAAAGGGAAAGGTAGAATGGGGTAAATTATCTCACAAAAAAAAAGAAAAGAAAAGTCTCTCACAGTGGAGGGGAAACAGGGGAAGGTGAGAGGGAATGAGGGAATCTTATTCTCATAGGATTTGGCTTAAGGAGAGAATAACATACACATTCAATTGGGTATGGAAATCTGTCTTACCCTACAGGAAAATAGGGGAGAAGGGGACAAGAGAGCAGGGGGTGATAGAGAGGAGGGCAGATTGGGAAAGAGGGTAATCAGAAGCAAATATTTCTGAGGAGGGACAGGGTCAAAAAAGAATAGAATAAAAGGAAGGGCAGGATAGGATTAAGGGAAATAGAGTTAGTTTTTCACAACATGTCTACTAAGGAAGTGTTTTGCATAACTGCACATGTACAACCTATATTGAGTTGCTTGCCTTTTCAAGGAGGGTGGGTGGGGAGGGAGGAAGGGAGAAAATTTGGAACTCAAAGTTTTAAAGACACATGTTTTTAAAAAAAATGTTTTCACATGCAACTGGGAAATAAGAAATACAGAAAATGGGGTACAGAAGTCTATCCTGCTCTACAGGAAAATAGAAGGGGAAGGGGATAAGGGAAGGGAGGGGGGAGAGATAGAAGAGAAGGCAGACCAGGGGAAGGGTTATTCAGAATGCATGCCATGTTGGGGTGGGGGGAGGGGTGAGAAATTTGGAACTCAAAAACTGGTGGAAGTGAATATTAAAAACTAAAAATAAATAAATTTATATTTAAAAAAAACCCCAATCACTTCCATATGCTTTTGAGTTGAAAATTTTGCTCCCCCTTCCTCCCCCCCACCCCCCCAAGACGGCGCACAATCTGATATAGGCTTTACATTTACATACCCATTAAACATATTTTCACATTAGTGAAGTTGTAAGTAAAAATTAAAACCAATAGGAGGAACCATCAGAAGGATGAAACAAAACTCAACAGAAGGTAAAAATGAGTGATAGTGATTCAACTTCCATAGTTCTTTCTCTGGATGTGGACAGCATTTTCCATCCTGAGGCCTCTGGCGATGTCTTAGATCCTCATAAAGCTGAGAAGGGTTCAGTTTAACAATCTTAGTCATTGCATAACATGGTGCAACATTTTTTTTAAATGCACAGAAGAGAATGAAAACAAATTTAGAAGGAAGCACAAAAAAGCAGGACAGTTTTGAAAGTAATGTGTAGGATTTATTTCATAGAATCCTCTTTTGTGTTCTACTGTGTTATACAAATTCTCTGTTACTTTTTTTTATGTTTAAGGTCAGAATGAGAAACAAAAATAATAATTTTAAAAATCTAGGTATCTTCCACTCACATTCCTTCTATCTTCTGTCGTTTCTCTTAAATTCATTTCATCCCTGTGTTCTCTCTGGAATAATGACCACTCTTCTCATTGAGCCCTAATGGGCCAAGAGGTTATGTTAGCATACTCCTTGCTCCCCATTGTTACTTCCAGATTCTCTCTCTGCCACCATCACTCAGCATCCTCTACTTCTTTAAATTTCCCTTTGTTTATCTACCATAATTTGTTAGCCATTCCATTCTCCCTCCCACCACTCC